GCTTCCTAAAAATAAATCTGGCAACCACCAGAAATATGGCAGGAAGATGAAGATGACCTTCCTGTTGAATCAAAGCAGATCCTTTAGTACAAGTTGCCTTTTTTGGGCTCTGCATTGTCCACAGACTTTTATTTTTACACATCATTAAGGGCCACCTTTTTATAACTCCTGACTTGTTACAGGCAACTAACATGCCATGTACTTATTAATTAGTATATTACTGGAGTTTGTTGAGGACCCAGAGTTCAGTATTCCAAGAAGTTTGGCAATTGCAAAACAGTTAATAATGACTTGCTGTCACAGAGACTGGTAAATGCTCCTCTTTTTGGGAAATAAACCTCTGCTAACAGTGTTGTCTCTTGAATTGAGTCCTTATTTTCATGTTCTGTAGTTCTGAAGCATTTACTATATGCTGCATCATGGTTCCCCACTACTTTTCCTGACTGCACAGATGACCAATCTGATTGTTATTTCTCTCTAGTCCTTGGCTCTGGATTCATTATTAAGTTTTGCCTCTCTTAGTGGGCCCGAAACATTTGAGAATCACTAGTTGAAAGGAGTAACTCAGGGGCACTTCCTTTGGCCCTCCTCAGCTGACTTTCTCATATCTGAAATGTGCTTTCTTTTACGCTTTGGCTTGGCCTTTAGCAGATCAAAAGAGTAAGGTACTTAGGCCTCCTGTGTCCTCCCTGTACTGGGTTAGTCGTTGCTCTGGTGTTGGTGCATTAACACTTCGTAAACTGGTCTTGAACATGAAAAATTAAAGCCTTCTCAGACTTACAAGTCTGAGAGTGATTTGCCTCATGTCTCCACCAAATGACTGCTATTGCACAGCCGCTGAGACCACCCCGCCCCCAACCAGCCTGCTGAAGTCTTCACCCTCAGAGCCATCTATTTGCAGGAAAAATGAAAGTAGCTGTTAGATTACACATTGCCTTTTTTGGGCCCTGCATCATCCACAGACTTTTGCTTTTATATGTCATTAAGGGCCACCTTTTTATAACTCCTGATTTGTTACAGGCCTGTTTTAAAATTTATCTTTGTTATTATATCAGTATAATATATATCAGCTTTTTTTATTACAAAAGAATAGAAGACACATGTATTACAAATACTATTCATTGATGAGTTAGAATGTTGATTAATATCATTTTTCTATTTAAACCACATGGAATAATGGAAAATTCTTTAAAATGACATAATGGCCTCTTTGGATGGTGAAATGACACTATTCTATAAGTCAGGCTTGACCCAGCAATTTCAGTTCTGGAAAAGCATCCTACTGATACCCTCGCCTGTGTGCAGAGATACATACACTCAGGGGTAATCAGTGCAGCATGATTTGGAGTGGAAGATGGTGGGAAACAAACCAGTGTCCTTCAACAGCAGACTGTTTACATAAATTATGGTACATCTATAGAATAGGATAATATGCAGCTGTTAAAATTGAATGTAATAAAAACTATAATTATATAATGCAAAGTATGTCACCCTTTACACACATACCTACTAGTGTGTCCAGGTCCTTTCTGCAGGAACCTAGAGTTGCTTTCTCTGGGGAGAACAGCTAGAGGAATAAAGGATCATGAAGGTAGAACTTCTTTTTTCCTCTGTACTTTTTTATCCTGCTGGATCTTCCTGTCCCTCCTCCCTCTATGGGGAGAGATGGGAGAGATGTACTTTTTCTAATCTTTTTTTTGTTCGTTTAAGACAGGGTCTTACTCTGTAGCCCAAGCTGGAGTGCAGTGGTGCCATCATAGCTCACTGCAGCTTTGACTTCCTGGGCTCAAGCAGTTCTCCTGCCTCAGTCTCCAAGTAGCTGGGACCACACGTGTGTGCCACCATGCCCAGCTAATATTTATTTATTTATTTATTTTTGAGATGTAGTTTTGCTTTTGTCACCCAGGCTGTAGTGCAGTGGTGTGATCTCGGCTCACTGCAACCTCTGCCTGCCAGGTTCAAGTGATTTTCCTGCATCAGTGCCCCTGAGTAGCTGGGATTACAGGTGCCTGAATATCCTTTCATTAAAAAAAAAATTTTTTTTTCAATTTTTTGTTTTGTAGAGATGGAGTCTTGCTAGTCTCGAACTCCTGGGCTCAAGCCATCCTCCTACCCCAGCCTCAGTGCTGGGAACTTTTTCTAATCTGAGATTAGCTGCATAACTTAATTTCTTTTCTGAGAATTTTTTATTCATTTGTTCATTTTTTTTGGCAATAGCTTTATAATTTTTGTTATATTCAGAGTTGTGTAGCCATAATCACAATCAATGTGAGCATAGTTTCATTCCTGAAAAAACCCCACACCTGTTAGCAATCACTCTTTACCTCCTCAGATTCCTTCTACTCCCCATCACCCACCCCTTCCATTCAGTCCCCAGCCTGGGGCAAACAGTTAACTACTTCCTGTCTCTAAAAATTTGGCTATTCTGAACATTTTCTGTAAATGAAATCTTAGAGTAATTGGTCTTTTGTGACTGGCTTCTCATTTATCATGATATTTTCAAAGTTCATCCCTGATGTAGCAGGTATCAGTAATTCATTTCTTTTCATAGCTGAAAATTATTCCCTTGTGTGAATGTGTTACATTTTATCTAGTCATCTAATGATGGCCATTGGAGTTATCTCTACTTTTGGCTATCATAAATAATGTTGCTATGCATATCCTTGTACAAATTTTTGTATAGACATATGTTTACACTCTCCATACCTCTGCCTAGATATGGAACTACTGATCAGATGGTAACTCTATTTGACTTTTTCAGGAGCTGCCGAACTTTTCTAAAGTGGCTGCACCATCTTATATTCCCATCAGCACTGTATGATTCTAATTTCTCCACATCCTGGACAACACTTGTTATTGCCTGTTGTAGTGAGTTCTTATAATCTTATGTTGCCTTGGCATCCGTTTTAAATCTAAATTGAACCGTCTCATACCAGAAGAAAGACTCAGTCACCCCTGCCACAGTTTGCAGTTCCACCCTCCTCCCCAGTTCCTCAGTGTGGTCGATCTAGCTACTTTCTGGTGACCACTTCCCTGTGGGGCAGCTGGATGCAGCCTGCTTGACAGGCCCTTCTGACCTTCGCATCCCCCATAGACCACACCGATATGCCACAGTGGCCACCTCCCAGTCACTGGGTAACCTCCTAGAACTCATGCCTGCTTGCTTTAAACTCACCAGTTAAAACTCCCCAGCCAGACACGGTGGCTCCCACCTGTAATCCCAGTACTTTGGGAGGCCAAGGCGGGTGGATGACCTGAGGTCAGAAGTTCGAGACCAGCCTAACCAACATAGAGAAACCCCGTCTTTACTAAAAATACAAAATTAGCCAGTCGTGTGGTGCATGCCTGTAATCCCAGCTACTCAGGAGGCTGAGGCAGGAGAATCGCTTGAACCCAGGAGGCAGAGGTTGCAGTGAGCTGAGACCACGCCACTGCACTCCAGCCTAGGCAACAAGAGCGAAACTGCATCTCAAAAACACACAAAAAAAACTCCATGCTGCCTGTGGGAAATCTGTTTGGAAACACCTGGGACTCAAATAAGACATTGGCTCATGTGTCCTTCCCCACAAACCCCACTTCTACCATGTGAGGATATGGGTCCCTTTTCTCTCTCTCTGCTTGTACTCCCTGACCTTTGTGTGTTTGGCTTGCAGGCATGCTGTGTACTCCCAGAACCTGTAAGTGATAATGTCTTTATTTCCATCTCTTATTTCCTCTGATTATTGGAGGAGTACTCTCCATCTTAAAGATCTTAAACTAAACCACCTATCATTCTTAGTATAAAGTATAACCATTGCCATGGACTAAATATTTGTGTGCACCCCGCAAAATTCATATATTGAAATTTAATCCCCAAGGTGATGGTTTTTGAGGATGAGGACTTTGGGAAGTTATTAGGTCAAGGGGCAGAGCCTTCATGAGTGGGATTAGTTTCCTTGTGAAAGAGGCCCAGGGAAATTTGTCTGCCCCTTCCACCCTGTGAGCACACAGCAGAAAGATGCTGTCTGAGAGAAAGCAGGCCCTTACCAGAGACAGAATCTGCCGGCTCCTGTGTTGACCTTGGACTTCCCAGCATCCAGAGCTATCAGAAACAAATTTCTGTTATTTATGCACTGTCTAGTCCATGGTATTTTGTTATAGCAGCCTGAACAGACCAAGATAGCCATCATAGTGGGGAAAGTGATACCTTATTGTGCTTTTGAATTATGTTTCCCTAATGAGTAATGATACTAAGCATCATTTTGTGTGTTTATTGGCCATTAATATGCCTTCTTTGGAGAAATGGCCGTCCAAATCTTTTCCCTACTTTTAAGGGCTGTTTGCCTTTTTATTATTTAGTTATATGACTTCTTTGTGTATTTTGGATTCTAGAACCTTATCAGATAATTTAATTTCTCCTATTGTGTAGATTCTATTTTCACTTTCCTAATGATGTCTTTTCAAAGCATGTATTTCTTTTTTCAAAAACATATTCTGTACTTTCTTTTTTTTTTTTTGAGATGGAGTCTCTCTGTGTCGCCCAGGCTGGAGTGCAGTGCCGTGATCTCGGCTCACCACAACCTCTGCCTCCTGGATTCAAGTGATTGTCCTGCCTCAGTCTCCTGAGTAGCTGGGATCACAGACACCCACCACCATGCCCCGCTGAGTTTTGTATTTTTAGTAGAGACAAGGTTTCACCATGGCAGCCAGGCTGGTCTCGAACTCCTGACCTCAGGTGATCTGCCAGCCTTGGCCTCTCAAAGTGCTGGGATTGCAGGTGTGAGCCACTGCACCTGGCTTGTTATCTTTACTATATTTATTTTATGAACTATCATTATTATTAAAATTAAATCGTATGGATTTTGCTGCTTTTTTCTCATTCATTATGTAGAAAGCCATGAATTTTATAAAACATGATAGGTGCTGATTTCAATAGTCATGCTTTGTTTGACCTCCTTTTATTTCTGAAGAAAAAAACACCCCACCTAGTTGTTTAACTCACATCTCTTTTGTTGTTGCAGGTTGCGGTGCAGGAGGGAATTAACTCAGGAATAGCCATGTCGAGAGGATTGTATCAACCAGCAGCAATTTTTATGGGCCGCCAAATGTCAGCCGTCTCAAGCATGGGAGATTTCAGTACAGAGCACAAATCTCCCCAACCCACAAAGAACTTTTCAATTCCTGACCTACATTCACACCAACAGACAGCCCAGAGCAGTAATGTGACAGACAGCTGTGTAGTACAAACTAGTAGTGACACACAGTGCTTAAATAAGTCTGACAACATAGATGGAAAGGCATCTCTTCAGACTGGTGAGAAAACGCCAGTCACAGCCAGTGTATTGTCTGAGGAGGAAAAAACTCATTGCTTGGAGATAGGAAGTAACACACGTCATGGCAAGAGTAATTTATCTGAAGGCAAAAAGTCTGCTGAACTCAATTCCCCATTACAGGAAAGATTAAGTCCAGAGAACAGAACCACTGATTTAAAGTGTGACAGTTCCAGCAGATCAGGGGGATCAGAGGGAGAAATACTGACACGGGAACATATTGAAGTTGAGGAAAAAAGAGCCAGCCCACCAGTCTCTCCGATATCAGTTTCAGAATACCGTGGATCTGAAACTAAGTGGTCTCAAGAGAAGCATTCTGCTTGGGAAGGTGTTTCAGGTGGGACAAGAGGCTGAGTTTGGTTGCTGATTTTTCTGGGTGGTGGCGATTTTTACCTTTTCTGGGTGGTAGTGATCTTACGTAAGGACAAAATATACTCTCCAATTATATCTCTTTGTCATAAAATATTGTCTTTGCCAACAAATTCCATTCTAATGAACTCTTAAATGCAAATGAATTTGCTGATTTTTAAACCCACTGATTTTTTAAAAAGCATTTGAACATATTTTTAAGCTTCTAAGTTCTGTAATGAATTGTGGGTTGCTCCTCCATGTTTTTAACTGATGAATAATTCTGCTGTGTGTTCCCTTGCTTCCCCCTGAAGTCAGAGATTGGTAATCGATTAATGTCCCCACTTGCAGATCATCTTGCTCATGGGGACCCAGAGTCACAAAAGCCCTTCAGAAAAATGCAGGAAGAGAAGGAGGAGGAAAGTTGGAGCACCAGCAGTGACCTCACCGTTTCTATAAGTGAAGATGATCTGATTTTAAAGAGCCCAGAACCACAGCCAAATCCGGATGGCAAGGTGGAGGGAGAAGATGGAATAGAGGCGTTAAAATTAATCCACTCTGAGCAAGAAAGAGATGCCCTATCTACTGAAAAAAATAATTGTATTTTGCAAACCCTAAGCTCTCCTGATTCAGAAAAGGAATCATCCACTAACGCACCAATAAGAAAGTAAGCCATTCAATTTTTTTTCCTACTGTTCTGTTTTTAATTGTAGACATTTTTAGAGACCATTCCACTGGGAATGTATTGTTGAGCACTCAGCCATGAATGTGTAAATTCCTTAAGTCTCATAACTAGTCTTTTAGGTAAGAACTAATTTTCTTTCTTTCTGTCCTTCCTTCTTTCCTTCCTCCCTCCTTTCCTTCTTTCTTTCTTTACCAAAATAGCTTTAAAAGTTTGAATATCATTGAATCGTGGTGATTGACAGCTTATATACACATAATCCCTGTTTAACTTGTAAGTCATTCCCCAACCCCCTACTCTCCAGCCTTTCAGAAAATAAATCTGTTTTGAAGTTTTGGTACCACAGAAAGTGACAGTTTAACTTACTAGGAATGCAGCGTCAGAGCCTGAGAACTTTATACCTAATTAATTTGCTTAATCCTTATATTCCTTGCCATAGTATCATTTTTGTCATCTGATTAAATATGAGTTAATAAGTTCTTCTAGTTGTATATATTACAAGCCATCCTTTTTTGAATGTAAATAGGAAACATTGGAATCTCTAATGTTAAATGGGAACATCAGCTGTATACATTTTGAAAACTTATAATATCCGACTGATAAAAGCTCATATATGCTTTTGTGCTACTGCTCGGAGTTCTTGCAATGTGGATGAAAGAACCAACATGGTTCCAGTCTTTGGGAAATTTGATTTATTGGGGAGGCGAGCCAAATGGATTTTTTAATAATAATAGTTCTGTCATCAAAGAGGCGCCGGTAATACATATTACATCATCATGGACAAGTTAGTACTTTGGTAGGCTAACGCATAATATACTTACCCGGGACTCGGTCTTTTTCTGAGGTGAAAAAAATTGAGATGTGTATGGAATTCCTACTTAACATTTCTCTAAGAGTCAAGAATGTTCATTCTGTCTCCATTTGAATGACTTTTTTTTAATGATCTTGGAGGCATAAAGTCAAGCTCCTTGGAGTTTTGGCATATTGTTTCCCAATAGTTAATGGAAAATATGGGCATGTGGGGAATTTTGAATATTTCTCTTAATAAAATGTTCCCAGAATGAAAATGTCAGTCAGCAGTGGTTGTTTCTGTGTCTGTATTATCAAATTTAAGACTACTGATTTTCTAGGTAAAAATATTCTCTAGGAATAGGTTGAAGGTGGTTTTAAATGATGCTAGTTAACTTGCTGACATCACCACTGCATTTGAGGCCCCGCATTTTCTTAATTTATTGTTTAGCTGAAGCTCTTCCCCTTTGCTCTGAGGGTTATTAGTCTGAGACCATAGCATCATATTTATAGCGCTAACACTATAACCCCAACAGTTTAGTATTTCAGTTTACTTTAGGGTCTGTTGGGGGCCTGGAGAAAAATCACTTGAATGAATTTAATTAGCAAAAATACATAAATGGGACAAAGAAGGACATATAGGAGCATATGATCCAGAATGTAGAATCTGTGCAGCTCCTTGAAGGCTGTATAGGCTTTGAAGGAGAAGGAGGAGGAGGAGCGAAAGAGCAAATAGAGTTTGGAGGAAAACACAAGAAGGAATGCAGAGCAGAGAACACAGAGGGAATGGGGGGACAGAGCAAAGGACCCTGTGGGCAAGGAGGGCCTTTTGGAGTTAAGGTTCAAAATGCCACCTGGGTTGAGGTTAAGAAAGGCCTGGAATATCAGGTTGATGAATTTAGAGGTCACTTTCTATGCTTTGTAGAGCTGTTCAAGGTTATTTTAGGAGAAGGACAGTGTGATGAGGCTTGATTTAGGAGGATTAACCTGACAGCATTAGTTTATTAGGATTAATTATCCGTGTGGTAGGCAGAAGTGTAGATGGCCCCGAGATTCCCATTCCCTGTTGTATGTGCCCTGCGTAATCCCCTTGCCTTGAGAGTCAGCAGGATTGGGAGTTTGATGGATTTTACTCCCGTGATGAAGCTATGTCACATGACAAAGATGAAGGATATTGCAGATATAATAAAGGTCCCAAATCAGTTGGCTTTGAGCTAGTCAAATAAAGATTATCCCAATTGGACCTACCTAATCAGATGAGACTTTAAAAGAGACTGGGCCTTTACTGAAGTCAGTGGCATGTTCTAAGCTCACTGCAAACTTTGCCTTCTGGGTACAAGCTATTCCCCTCCTTAGCCTCCCAAATAGCTAGGATTACAGATCCACCATACCTGGCCAATTTTTGCATTTTGGGTAGAGACCTGGTTTTACCATGTTGGCCAGTCTGGTCTCAAACTCCTGACCTCAAGTGGTCTACCCCTCTTGACCTCCCAAAGTGCTGGGATTAGAGGTATGATCCATTGCATCCAGCCTGAAGCCAGAGAGATGTAAAACAGCTAAGATACTCTCCTGTTTGCCTGAAGAAGCAAACTATCATCTTGTGGGAAAGATCACGTGACAGGAAATGGCCTGCAGCCTCTAGGGGCTGAGGGCCTCAGTTCTGCAGCCCCAAGGAAATTGATTCTGTATATAACCAGTGAGCTTGGAAGAGGTCCCTGAGCCTTAGATGAGATTGCATCTCCAGCAGACACCTTCATTTCAGCCTGGTGAAAACTTGAGCAGATGACCCCACTCACCCAGATCCAGACTCCTGTCTCATGGGAACTATTAAATAATAAATGTATGGGAATTTGTGATACAGCAATAAGAAAATTAATACAACTCAGTTGAAGAATTGGAAGCTAGGATTGTATGGATTGAAGTGTCTACCCATAATGACTGGAAACAAGCTAAATTGGACATGTTCAGGGTTCATTGTGGGAACACATGGTAATAAGGTATCTGAGTGAGTGATTCAGCAGCCAAGGTAAACTGTGCTTCCCCTCACCTTGTATCCTCACCATCTGAGCAAGTGCGTTTTCACACTGTGGTAGCAGTGGTAGAACATTATAGACTGATAGGGACTTTAAAAGTGGGTGTGCCTATCCGCATTAACCAACAAACAGTTTCTCATGCTAGTGGGTTTTTTGTTTCACTATATATATATATATTTTGAGACGGAGTTTTTGCTCTTGTTGCCCAGGCTGGAGTGCAATGGCATGATCTTGGCTCACTGCAATCTCTGCCTCCCGGGTTCAAGCTGTTCTTATGCCTCAGTCTCCTAAGTAGCTGGGATTACAGATGTATGCCAGCACATCCAATAAAAATATTTTGTATTTTTAATAGAGATGGGGTTTCACCATGTTGGCCAGGCTGGTCTCGAACCCCTAACCTCAGGAGATTTGCCCACCTCCAAACTGCTGGGATTATAGGCATGAGCCATGCGCCCGGCCTGCTTTGTTTTATATATCAATGCATAATGATATGTATCCACCTTTACAGTATCATTAAAAAATAGTTTATCTGCTTGAAAATCACCTGTGCTCCATCTACTCACCCCTCTTCCTTTAACCCCACTTGAACCCCTGGCAAGCACTGATCTTTTTAGTGTCTTGTCTTTTCCAGAATGTCAAGTAGTAGGAATTATGTAACAAGTAGTCTTATCAGATTGGCTTTTTTCACTTAGTCATATATATTTAAGGTTCTTCCAAGTCTTTTTATGGCTTCATACTTTATTTTTAGCACTGAATAGTATTCCATTGTCTGGATGTACCGCAGTTTATCCATTCACCTACTGAGGAGTATCTTGGTGGCTTCTAGGTTTTGCCAATTATGAATAAAGCTGCCATAAATATCTCTGTGCAGGTTTTTGTGTGGACCTAAGTTTTTAACTCATTTGAGTAAATACCCAGGAGTGTCATTGCTGAATCATATGTAAGTCTATTTTTGGTTTGGGTTTTTTTTTATTTTTTATTTTTGTGGGTACATAGTAGGTATATATATATATATATATATATATATATATATATATTTATGGGGTACATGAAATATTTTGTACACATGGTAAATGGGGTATCCATCCCCTGAAGCCTTTATCCTTTGTGTTGTAAACAATCCAATTATACTCTTTCAGTTATTTTTAAATGCACAATTATTATTTACTATAGTCATCCTGTTGTGCCGTCAAATACTAGATCTTATTCATTCTTTCTAACTTATCTTTTTATACTCATTAACCTTCCCCACCTCCCCTCACCCCAAACCCTACTACCCTTCCCAGCCTCAGGTAACTATCTTTTTTTCTACTCTGTCTCCATGAGTTGAATTGTTTTAATTTTTAGCTCTCCCAAATAAATGAGAACATGCAAAGTTTGTCTTTCTGTGCCTGGCTTATATCACTTAACATAATGACCTCCAGTTCCATCTATGTTGTTGTAAATGATAGGATCTCATTCTTTTCTATGGCTAAATAGGTAAGTCTATGTTTAGCTTTGTAAGAAACTGCTGTGCCATTTTACATTATCACTAGAAATGAATGAGAGTTCTTGTTGCTCTATCTTGTCAGCATTTGGTATTGTCAGTTTTAAAAATTTTAGCCATTCTAAAAGGTGTTTAGTGGTATGCAATTGTTTTAATTTGTAGTTCCCCAATGACGTGCTGTGGAACATCTTTCATATGCTTATTTGCCATCTGTATATCTTCTTTAATGAGATGGCTGTTCAGATCTCTCACCCATTTTTAATTCAGTTATTTTCTTATTGTTGAGCTTTAATAGCTCTTTCTGTATTTTGGATACCAGTCCTTTATCAGGGGGGTGGTGTGTCTTGCAGATATTGTCTCCCAGTCTATGGCTTGTCTTTTCCTTTGAATAGTGACTTTTACAGAGCCGAGGTTTTAAATTTTATTTTTTAAAATGTATTTTGTTTGTTTGTTTGAGACAGGGTCACACTCTGTTGTCCAGGCTGGAGTGCAGTGGTAGGATCAAGGCCCATTGCAGCCTCAACCTCCCCAAGCTCAGGTGATCCTGCCACCTCAGCCTCCTGAGTAGCTGGGACCACAGGTGCATGCCACCATGCCTGGCTAATTTTTAAAAAATTTTTTGTAGAGATGTGGTTTCTCGATGTTGCCCAGGCTGGTCTTGAGCTCCTGGGGTCAAG